GCCCAGGGGATGGGAAAATCTTTTGCTGTGTTGAAAACGTTCCGCTGGATGGGAAAACCCGATTCCCGCCCAGCTCCCAGACCACCCTTCCTCCCATCTCTTGGACCCTTGTGGCAGTGAGTTCCACTGGTGAGCGACATCACACGGTGTTGCTTTTGCTTCGCGATTGGCCAGCCTGTGTAACTAACTGGGCGGTGTCTGACCAAGTCTGGATCTGCGTCGGGCTCAGCGTGGGATATCTCTGGAACAATTCACCCTCCCGCCCTGTTTCCAGCTCGGACACGGAGCCAGACAGTAGCACGCACCCAATGACGAGGAATGTCTTTTACTGGGCCAACTTCTGCTGCCGGAGGAGACCAACTTTTGAGTTCCACAGGGCCTGGAAAGAAATCAGCAACCCTGCAAAGAAATCAGCAACTGTTTCAGGGTTGGGCGCTTGTTTCCGCCTGGGGTTGGCTGGCAGTCAGGCCTGTTTACCCAGGTAGGTCCCAAGGAGAAATGTCAGGCCCCCTCCAGCCCTGCCTAGAACACAGCCAGACGTTTGCTTTCCAGGCGGCCTCGTTTTTTGGGTTTTGGTTTTAGTTGAAAGGGGAAAATCTCGGCGTGGGGCTAAACCCTGCTGTGCGAGGCCTGAGGGTGAGGTTTGCTGGGGGACCGGGGCCTAGGGTGGAGGATCTCTCTCTCTGGATCTATTGCTGCACCGTCCTTTGCATGGGAATGGCTGAGAGAAAAGGGGTGGGGGGTGGCCCATCAAAGCTGGCACGCTACAGGACTCCTGGGTTCTATCCCTGGCTCTGGGAAAGGAGTGGGGGTCTAGACGCTAGAGCAGGGGGGGTTTAGTGGTTAGAAATTGGGGAGCTGGGAGCCAGGACTCCTGGGTTCTATTCCTAGCACTGGGAGGGAAGTGTGGTCTACTGGTCAGAGCAAGGGGGGGCTGGGTGTCAGGATGCCTCACTTCCATCCCTGGCTCAAGGAGAAGGGGCTAGAGGGGGGGTGGGTCTAGTGGTTAGAGATGGGGGACTGGGAGCCAGGACTCCTGGGTTCTCTCCCCAGCTCTCCTAGGGAAGTCGGGTT